CCCCCTCCTTCCGAACTCACGCGGCCGGGAGCGGAGAGCGCCGAGCGCTGGTCACGCCCCCCTCAACGCCCATTGGTCGCTGCCTCCCGGCCGCGCGCTCCCATTGGCAGGAGCCGCTCACGGTCCCTCTCCCCGGGCGCTTCCATTGGCTGGGCCCTCCCTCGCCCCACGCCCATTGGCCAAGGCCGCGGCCATAGAGGCGGCCAAGGGCGCGTGGGGCAGAGCGGCCGCCGCCATCTTGGGGCGGGGGCGGGGCGGGGCGTGCTGGAGGACCGTCGCCATGGCAGCAGGACGGGGCGGAGCTTCCACTGTCGCCACTGTCACCGTGGGCGACTCTCGATCCCCCCCCCCCCCCCCCCCCCCCCCCCCCCCCCCCCCCCCCCCCCCCCCCCCCCCCCCCCCCTCCCGAGAGTTCCAATCGCCCCCAGGGCACACATACCCCCCGCTGTTCCCTCGAATGGTTTATTTCTCTTTTTTTTTCTTCTTTTATGTATTTTCTTAAGCGGTGGTTTTATACTTTTATAGCACTGACATCATCGCCCCATCCCTTGGCCATCGAGATGATGCCGTCACCCAACGATGATGTCATCACTTCGATGACATCATAAACCGCCAATGACATCATCACCTCATCCCATGGCCACAGGGATAATGCTGTGACCCAGCAATGATGTCATGGGGACATGGCCTCCAGCCTCCCCCCTCGAAGACTTCAGAACCCCCCAACATCCCCCACCTCTTCCCCCCCATCCCCTCCCCTCATGTCTGCGGCCCCCCCTCACCCCCCTGGCTGCCCCCCGTCCCTCCCCACACCCTGCCCAGCAGCGCTGCCCCCACCCCTGCCAGGGCCCCCCGCACGGCACCGGACGAGAAGTAGAAGACGAAGGGGTCCAGGGCAGCGTTGAGGCTGCTCAGGAGTGTCGCGTAGACCCTCCAGGGTGGGCTGCGGCCCTGCACGAAGCCCACCACGTGTGACAGGTTGTAGGGGGCGAAGCAGAGCCCAAAGTTGACCATGGTGACCACGGCCAGGCCCACGGCACGCCGGCGCTTCACCCGCGGGATGTTGGGGCGCGCCATCAGCGCCCGCACAAAGCCGACATAGCAGAACACGGTGACGCCGAAGGGCACCAGGAACAGGACGAGGAAGAGCTCGAGGCGCACCGGGAGGACAAAGCTCAGCTGGTCCTCGGAGAAGTCATCGTAGCACCTGAAGGGGGCAGTGGGGGTGGAGGGGGTGGCGGGGAAGAGATTGGGCAGCTTGGAGAGGTCAGGGTTGGGAGTCCTGGAGAAGCTGGGGTTGGAAGTCTTGGAGAGGTTGGGGCTGAGGGTCTTGGAGAGGTTGGGGTAGGTCTTGGAGTCACGGGGATAGAGGGTATTGGAGAGGTTTGGGCTGGGGGCCTTGGAGAGGTTGTGGTCAGGGATCTGGGGCTCGTGGGTGTTGGGCTCAACAGTGTTGGGGTTCTTTGGCTCACCGGGGTTGAGGCCCCTTGGACTGGAGACTTCGAGCCTGTCGGGGTCGAGCCCGCCTCGCCTCCCCCCATGTCCCTCAAGCCCCCCGCCATAGTAGGAGGCCACGAAGACGATGGAGCAGTGGGAGCAGGCCAGGAGCCAGAGCACGGCGCTGGCGGCTGCCACGCGGCCCAGGCGGCCCCGGCCCCGCAGCCGCAGCGGGAATGCCACGCCGAGGTAACGCCGCACGCTCAGTGCCGCCAGGAACAGGCTGCTCAGGTAGATGCTGGAGTAGAAGCAGAAGTTGGCCACGGGGCAGAGCGCAGCCGGCAGCGGCCACACCATCCCCGCCGCCGCCTCAGCCATCTTGAAGGGCAGGAAGAGCAGCAGCAGCAGGTCGGCCGCCGTCAGGTTGAGCAGCAGCAGGTCAGACGGTGACAGGCGGTGCCGCCAGGCCTTGGCCGCCAGGGTGGTGAAGGTGAACACGTTGGCCGGGAACCCCACGACAAAGGTGACGATGTAGATGGTGAGGACCAGCATGGCTGGGGCTGGGCAGGCCTGGGCGAGAGAGGGGTCAGGCTTGGGAGGGGACAGGGGTGGGTCAACAGGGACACAGATGTGCCAGGAGGTGCCCTGGGACGTTTCCCCTGGTGCAACCACGGGGCCACGGTGGGGACACGGAGCAGAGCCGAGTGTCTGGGTGGTCTCACCCAGGGGTTTGGGGAGAGCACCAGGGGTTGGGGGGTATGCCAGGTGCCCAGGGGAGACCCAGATGTTCAGGGAGCGGTTCAGGTGCCCTCCCCCAAACCCTCCCCCATCTCCCCTTCATACCTGGTTATCCTGGTGGGATTTTAGGACCCCCCCCAAGCTGCCAGGGCCCCCCAAGACTTCAGGAGTCCCTGGTCCTGTGGTGAGGGGGGGTGGGCAAGGGGGGCCACCCCGCTGTTTGGGTGCCTCGTCCCTGGGTGACCCCGATTTTCGGGTGTCCCCAGGGTGGGGGAGGGACAGGGATGTGGCTTTGCCGACGCTGAGGAAGTTCCGATGTTTCCTGACCGCAACGCCTGGGGGTGGCTCTGCCCCTCCCACATCACTCCTGGGATGCTCCCCCACCCCCTCCAAGACCCCCCGACATCCCTCGACTCCCCCCTGACACACACCCATCACCCAGACCCCCCCAGTCTGGGGAAAAGCAAGGGAAAGAGGGATCTGAAAAGGGGTTTTTTTTGGGGAAGGAAAAAGGAGGCACCTCTAGTGGGGAGGTGGGTCCTCTGGGGCATTTTGGGGAAGTCCACACAGGTGTAGGGGGAGAGACAGAGGTGGTGGGGGACCAGGTGTGCAGGGGGACACGGGTGTCTGCGAAGACACTAAGGTGTCCTAGGAGGGGTACCCAGGTGTCCTGGGGAGGGAAAGAGGTTTCCAGGCGGGTACCTGGCTGCCAGGGAAGGCCCAGGTGACACCCAGATGACTCCGTGGCCTACAAGTGACACCGGGGAGAGGGTCAGGGAGATTTTTGGGGGATTTTGAGGAGGTTTAGGGGGTGGGGGGATGAGGGGTGGGGGAACAGGGGTTGCCTAAAAATCACAGACTCCCTCAGGCTCCTGTGATGAGTGGGTCAGAGCACTCCGGACCTGTGGGTCAGTAGGGTGGGTGCTGGGAGATGGGGTGCACTTTAGGGCTTTCCTTGGAAATAAAAACTTGAGCAAAACCACGACAACTATTTAATTTTTACTTATTAACTAATTTTTTTGTATTTAAATAATTGTAGTTTTTTAACATATATTAACAAAGTAACTTTTTTTGCGTGGTATAGTTGTTATTATGCATTTAACAACTGCCTAATTAATCATTAGCCCCTCTCTCAACACCATACATGGTGAGACTTACAAATGAAATCACACAGAACCAACACCCCAGTCACCATCACAGGGCACCACAGATGCACATAACACCCTAAAAAACCTGAGAAATATCACTTAATTAACAAGAGAACTCCTAAACCTATGCATTGAATGACAAAAAAAAAAAAAAAAATCAATTTTAAACCCCCTAAGACAGCACTGCCATCTAGTGATCAGAAAATTAAATCGCTTTAAAATTTTACAGTCGACATTGGCACCTACCGACTAATCATAGCAATTACACTGACTTTATGAACAATAGGGAGTTGTTGTGTATGGTATCGACTCCAAGAAGTTGTTTCTCGCATGTCTCTGTCCTGACCAGGGATCAAAGGACCAAAGGGAAAGGATGAGAAGTTCCCCGAGAATTGCTGCCCAGGGGCTGCTGCCCCCGAGGAACAGGGTGAAGGCTGTCTGTGCTGAGGTGCCCTGGCTGAAGTGTGCAGTTGGTGTGAGTGTTGCTGCACAAAGGCAGGCCGGGTGTGTGCGGCTGTTCCGTGCCCTCCACCCTCGGCCATGCCGGAGCACCCGGCCAGCGCTCCAGGGGTGGCCAACTTGGAGCTCCCGAGAAGCTGCCTGTGCCCACGGCCAGACAGTGCCAGGCCTGGCCTAAAGCCGGCTTTGTCGGTCAGAGTCTGGCCAGCGGGAGCCTCTTGTAGCCACCCCGCAGCCTCCCCTGCGGACGGACGCACCCGTAGGAATTGTGGCAGTTCCCCGAGACTGCGGGATCGGCTGCACCGGGGCTGGGGGTGGAGCGTGAGGGGGCCGTGGGGGAGGGATTTCTGCTTAGCCACAGTTCTGTCTCTCAGGGCTGAACTGCTTGCAGTGACCAGGTAGGACTTGGCCCTGATGCCTGAGTGCTCTCCAGTCCCCCAGGATGGATCTCAACTGTCAGGCCCTGGCTCCATAACTTGAGCAGAGGGTGTTGCTGCAAGCCCAGCTGCTGTGTTGGTGGTCCTGTGTGCACCTCTTGCCCTGGCCTGCTGTGAATGTATTTGTGTTGCAGCTCAATAATGTCCCAATAAAGTGGTGATTGTGTGATTTTGGTGTCAGTTCCTCTCCATTCCTCTTCTCCTTGCCCAGCGGCTGCATCACTGGCTTGTGCTTAAATGAACTCTTGCCCTGCAGCAGTTCTCTGCTGCTCTCAGAGGCTGGAGCTGAGGCCCCTAAACAAAGGGCAAAGGGATCCATCCGAGCCAGGCCCGTGCTCCCCCCCTGCATTCCTGCAGCATCCCGTGTTTGCAGTTGCCATCACTGCTGGACATACAGCCTGTTCCTGAACAAACCCCTTTCCTGTTCTCTCTTTATGTCTCCTCTCCCACCTCCTCTCCTCTGATGCTCCAGGTGCCAAGGCCCCTGTTTTTGAGGGGCACTCCTGCTCTGCTGCCCCCCCCATTCTTTTGAAAGCAAGAGCCAGGAGCCCCAAGTGCAGAGAGGGCTGCAGGGAATAAGTGGCAATGCCTGCCTGTCTCTCCCTGTGTTCGCTGCAATTCTCCTGCCTGTTCTCCCCTGGGCTGAAGAGCCCTGCCTGGCCTGTGTTTCTTGGAGGAGAGCGATGTTATTCCATTTGTCCAAAAGGTGTGTTCGTGGGCACTCGTTTTCTGACAGGCAGTGCCATTTTCCTGTTGCCTTTCCCAAGTTTTACCAAGTACTGCCCAGCATGGGCCTTGGTGTGCTGAGACAGTGA